ATACAAAGATGAAAGAATAACAAAATACACCCAGTTATAAGTCTGGATCATAACAGTAACAGAGCTCATGTGGAAATGGCAGTGCTTACTACTTTGGTCAGGGGAAAAAATAATATATTTTTTTAAATACAGACCTTATATGGATTTAGATTGAAAGAAGGCTGAATTGATTATTTACGGATTTGAGGATAAAAAGGTTTAAAGAGAAAGGGGAAGAATTAAGATGGCAATTACTTGATGCAAAGAAGAATGGAAGTCATAATTCTATGCTTTTGCTCCTTTTTCGCTTTTTCCTTTTTTCTGTCCTTTTTATATTTTAATTTTTTATACTTTTTTTGCACTAAAAATTCCAATATTTTTTAAACAAAAGGCTAGAAATACTTTACAGTAGTAGCAGCTTGTATGGGCCTCCTGATTTATATATATATATCTTTTCACATTGGCAACAAACCTTCTTTCCCAGCCCTTTTATTCATGTTATGTTGAAACCTGGGAACTGTGGCTGAACTGGTCCCTGTTCCGCAGCGTACTCAAGCTTTGACAGATCTGGGGGTGGTATGTGTGAGGGAGGAAGGACTGGGGGAAGACACTGCCACTATTAGCAAGGCTTTTTCTGCCCTTAGTTTCTGTAATGCACAACACATTACAAAGCAGACAACCAGAGAAGCAAAATGGTGGGATACTCCAGTTGCTACAACCATGCAAGTTTGATTCAAGCAGCGTGCAGAGCCACAAAGTGGTATGATTAGTTTTGACTTTGCTGGTTGCAAGTGGTTACCACTATTAGAAGCCAGATATTGCTATAGTTACCCTACAGATTTAAGCAACTTTAATGCTTATTTCCACTCCATTAAGAACTGTAGTTCTGGCAGACCTAAGAATCTTTGACAGATTTAACATTCTTGTCAAACTATGATTCCCAAACCAAGATATGGTAGCTACACTGCAATCCACAGTCTCTAATTGCTACATTTTCTTCTTTCTGACATGTCCTACTTTCTCCCCCAAGAACCAGGCTGCAGGAAATCACCAAATATGGATTCTAAACAAATCTTTAACATACAGATACATGTAGTTGTAGCTGCATATTTTGTCTTATGTTACCCCCCTCTGGCCTAGCAACAGTTCTTATTTGGAGGCATGACAAGCATCCACATGTCTTACCAAATTGTGCTTTGATTAAATCATTGTTTGATGAAAAAGTGATAGTGACCGAGTTTGTAGTTCATGCTAAATCAAGTTTTTATATATCTTAATTTTGTAGCGCAATATGGAAATTTGTATGTAGATGATTTATATCTAATCTCCAATCTCCTAGACGGGTCGCTAATTAAGTGGAATGAGTGAATAAAATTCCAATGTTTTGAAGACCAGGCAAAATACCAAATCATAGTTAAATGTTCAGAAATCATGGGTTTTCTAATGGAGACAAAGATTTTGCCAGCAGTGTGAATTCTTCCACTAGTTATGGATCTGAAATGGAGTCTTAGAGTGATTTAACCTGAATACTACAGAAATCCATTTACCCTATGACGACAAATGAAAATATTGATAAAACAATGTAATAGACTCCTAGCATTGTTTCTTTCTATACCTATTGTATATTTTCAGTTGTTCAGAAGAGGCTTTGCTCAGAATACACCAATGATCTTCTGAATTTAATGAGAAACAATAACTCCTTTGTAATCACTTGTAGTAAAATGAAATCCTAAAAAAAATAAATCATTTTTTTTTGTTTTCAGGAAAGATGTGGCTATCTAGCTAAACATTTGGAATCTAATACAACACAATGAATTGATTTCAGTAAATCTAAATCTTAATTAAGTGTGCTTTTTTTTACTGTGATACAACGTTATTATGTCATTTATATTTTATTAACATTCCTTTTGTGGAGTGCTAATATAAAAAAAGTCCAGATTTGGTCATACGTTATGTGAACCCAGCCAGCATAGTTTGCAAAATGTCAGCTTATGTTTTGTGCCAAGATCCAGCCTGAAATATTAATAAAAATGATTAAATTATGTGTAAAATATTTCTTTCTTTATTTTTTATTTCACTGTATAAGTAACTCTAGATGGCTTATAAGTAAAAATCCTCCCAAAAATATACAAATGTCAATATAAATGTATACAAAGTTAAAAAGATATCCTTAAGCCACCACCCTAGATTTGCCATAAATCCATGGGAGAAATTAAAAAATCAAGTCCAAAGAATGTGATTTCTTGGCAGTATTCTAGCACTTAACCATTGTTAATTCCACAGCCCATGTGATAGTCTCTTTTCTCAAAATTAGCCAAAATCTGGATTCACATTTTATGCTAAACCATGTGGGTTGTTTTTTTCTTAGCAAGCTAATTGTGGCTTATTTAACAGTTCATGGTTAACCAAACACTGACTTAGCTCATGATGATCCCAATCCATGCTTGATGATTACGGGTAGAGACTTAGTTACAAATACCTTGAAACACAACTTCCTTTCCCTGTGTTTATAGGTAATTGCATTTAGACCCCTTCCATTTACACAGGTTTGACCTCTTTTGAAACAGAGGTGCTGAAAAAAAAGGAGGATCAATGCAATGTCCTTGAATAGCTGAATGTTCCTGTGAGAATAAATTAGCAAGCTTGAACATCACAGACACTGCAGCAATAATATGTGAAAGTTAACACCTGTTAAAAAAAGGGAAGCTGTTCACACCCAACCTCCTCCTCATTTTATGCCATTTCCACTTCTCTCCATGGTTTTTAGACACTCAATGCTTGCTTCACAGGTTCCACGCATGCAGGCATCATTTATTTTGAAAACTAAACAAATACACTAGCATAGGTAAATATGCCTGGAAGATTACTTTGTTAACTTTGCCCATTTAACTTATTCTGCATAATGAAAGCTCATTCTATGCTATCCCAAATAACCTAAAATTAAGTGCACCCTGCTGCTAAAAAAAGGGCAAGTTAAAGACTTCTTCTTCTTCTTGTGCCATATCCGTTATCAGACATTGGCAATCATGTTGGCGATCATGTTTTTATCAGCAGCCGCACGAAAAAGTGCTGCTGAGTTTTGTCCAAACCAGTCCCTTAGATTTTGAAGCCACGATGTTCTTCTTCTGCCTGGACCTCATTTGCCTTCAATCTTTCCCTGGAGGATTAAATGGAGTATGCCGTATTTTTCTAGGTGTCGCATCACATGTCTGAAATATTCTAATTTTCGTTTTTTAATTGTTTTGATGATTTCCCTTGGCTTTCCCAGGTGGCTTATCACCTCATTTCTGATCTTGTCAACCCAGCTTATATGTAACAGCCACTTATAAATCCACATTTCAAATGCTTCTAGTCTCTTCAGGTGGCTTTCTGTCAGAGACCAACTCTCTACTCCATAGAGCAGGATAGAAAAAATATAGCATCTGACAAGCTTGATTTTCAGTCTTAGGCTTATGTCGTGACTGCAGAAGACCTAAGTTAAAGACTAACAGACTAGAAATGCTGTAGCCTTGCAGATATTTACAGAACCACAATTCTTAGCAGCCTTGGAAGGTGTTTTTACAGTATATATAGAACAGTGTATGTAACCACTATATAGCTGGGTCATTTATTTTGAACCAATGAAGATCCATCCACTCTGATCCATCCTCTCTGTAGTGTATCAAATATGTGTATAAACTGCTTCACAGGTTTTGACGTTACCACTTAAAAAAAAATCTGGAATTTTGAAGCACACTTTAATTTGGAGACTATTAAACTGATGGAAACTTATTTTGCCATGTTATATTCCAAACATTGACTGATTATTAATCCCAAGCCCTTTAGTGGGCCACATTTAAAAAAGTTACCAGTATAACTTAAGTCAAGGTGTGGGGGGGAGGTAAATATTTTGAACAGATTTATATTTTTTTCACAGGGCACTCCCAGTTTTTGTGTTTTCTGCTCCTATAAGGCAATCCTAGATACCTTCATCGAATCAAACGTGCTTGTAATAGAGCTTCTTCCTAGGTAAAGTATGCCATGTCTTTCTCAGTCTTCAAGCAAAACAATTTCTTGTAAATGGACCTACACGAGGACACATGTTGCCATTGAATACGATAGCAGAACCTCAGCTTTAACTCTCCGTCCCTACAATGCCTCTTAAGACTTTTGAGTTACTCTTCCTGTCAAGAATTATTGGTAAGAACAGGAGAGAGGAAAAAAAACCCACTAAGGAACTTTTCTGGGGTGTGGCGCGCTCTGTCTCCGATTATGCCTGTAAGAGGGGCATATTTCGACGTTGGTCCTGGGTCGCTGCTGATTGTTCCGTCAAAGTTAACAAGAGCAACCGAAAGCGAGCTGGATGCTTCCGCTCCCCCTTGGAAGACTAACAGGGCAGCAATTTTGGAAACCGCAGTATTACTATAGATACGCTGTTGACAAATAGATGGCTACCCGCTTTTTTTCCTATCCCTTTCCTCCTGCAGCGATTCTCCATAGTCCGTCTGTCGAACCACGCTGCTTTCGGAAGACTACACAGCAGTTCGCCTGAAGGGGGTATCTTGCACCCCCGCGCCATTGAAGACGCTCTATCCGGTGTCCCAGGCCCGCCTATCATAGCCTCCGCTCTATGATCCAAATTACAACGGCAATTGGCAGAGCCGCGCTGGCCCCGCGCTCTCTCTCGTTCTAGCGCGCAAGAGGTCCGCACGGGGGAGGGATCTTATTATTTCCGGGTCAAGGCGGGGTTGAAATCGCCCCGCTCTCCGCCTCCCCCTCCCAGACCCGCCGAGGCCGCCGCCGCAAGAGCAGCTGCCGCAGCCCCTTCCCGCTGCCCTTGCCCTCCTCCCGCCGCCGCCATCCCACCCGCCCACCCCGGCTCTCTCCTCCTCCTCCCCTTCCCCTGTCCCGCTCCCTCCGCCCGCCCCGGAGACCCACGCACCACCCGCCCTCCCTCCTCCCGCTCCCCCATCCCATCCCCTCCCCCCCCGCCCGAACGAGTCAGTGAGCGAGAGAGCGAGCGGACGTGCGAGGCCTGGCCTGGCCAGCTATCCCGCCAGGTAAGGTTTCCTACTAACCCTGGATTAGTGTTGACCCTCCCCCCCCCTCTTCCCAATCCTCGGCCTCGAGTAGCTTCACTTTTCCGTCAGCCCTCTTTCCCAAACCCGGCCAGGTCACTAAGGAAGCTGGGGGATACGCGCGCGGCCTACTGGGGCCTAATCCGGCCCGACTGCGTGTGTGAGGCGCGGTAGGGGGAGGGGCGCCCGCGTTCGTGTTGCCACCTGCGTAGTGGAGTGGGGCCCGCGCGATCAGCCCTATGCTGGGGGGGGCGCTGCTGGGGAGGCCGGGGGGGCCGCGCGCGCTGTTGCTGCGTCACATTGGGCGGGATCTAGGCCCGGGCCGCGCGAGGGACGGTCGGAGGGAGGGGGGAGGGAAGGAGAGAGAGAGAGGGAAAGGGAGGGGCGGAGTTTATGCGTGGGGAGGGGAGGGGGGGAGGGCGAGGCTGACGCTAACGCGCTTGGCTCTGAGTCGGAGAATGGAGGCGGCCCCGCTGGCGGGCGGATCTCTTGGAGCCAGGCGGAGAGAGAGCGGGGAAGGGAGCAGCAGAGTTGCGTCTTGTGCCATTTCAAAGCGCCTCCCGCCAGCGATACAGCGCCCTCTTCAATGTTAACCACTCTTGATTCTCTTTTAGCCCTTCTCAGGTCGCTTGGGCAGGAAAGTCGCTACGCTATAAAGAACTTTGCTTCAAGGATTTTTGTTTTTTAAAACCGAGAAGTTTTTAGATTAAAATAAGTGGGATTGTCCCCCCCCCCCGCCCCGGACACTGGACTCATTTATATATATATATGTTTTTCAAAATTTGGATTGCTTACAAAGAATTAAGGGAGAACTGGAATAGCCATTTCGAACTTTATATATATATATAAACTTTATATATATAAAATTGAGATTGGTAATACGGAATGTGGAATAGGCTGAAATATTATATATATATATATATATATATATATATATATATATATATATATATATATATATATATATATATAATATTTCAGCCTATTCCACATTCCGTATTACCAATCTCAATTTTATATATATATATGTGTGTGTGTGTGTGTATTTATATATATATATTTATATATATATATTTTTTTCAAAATTTGGATTGCTAACAAAGAATTAAGGGAGTACTGGGATAGCTATTTCTAACCTTCAAAAAAAAAGCACTCATATATATATATATATATATACATACATACATACATACATACATACATACATACATACATACCTCTTGTAGCTAACAAAGTGTCTCTTGTAGCTAACAAAGTGAGAAAGAGCCTGTGGCATAGAGGACTAATGCTTCTGCTTAACATGCAGACAGCCCAGGTTCGAATCTCGGAAGGGTATGTCTGACTGATGAAAACCAAACAAGGTTAGAAATAGCTATCTCAGTACTCCCTTAATTCTTTGTTAGCATTCCAAATTTTGAAAAAAACATATATATATATATATATATATAAATTGAGATTGGTAATACGGAATGTGGAATAGGCTGAAATATTATGTCTATTAGGCCGTATACTCAAAATTTTGCCAGTTTACCCTGTTGTTTTTTTCTTGGAGAAACATTAAGAAGAGAGGGGCAGCCGGATCGTTTAGAATAATAAAATTCTCTTGATAGAAACTAAACAATGATTGGAAATTTAATAGAAACAGTTGAGAGATTAAACTGTGGGGTAAGGTTTTTAAAATACAAATTAATTGTAAACAAAGCAGATTTCCTTTATGAGCATCAGATTTATTAATCCAGTGTGTTAAAATTGTTGATGTAGACAAAAATCCTTGTGAGCTGCATGAATGACATAAATAAGGATTTGGGAGAGTGTTGCATAACACACATTTAAAGATATAGAGATTTACTGCATTTGTGGCAGATAAAAGTGAAATCATGGTCTTTTATTCTATTCATGGTATATTTTTATCCATGCTGTCAGCAAACAAAATACTTAATCCGATTCTTAATTCTTTACAATGAAAAGCAATTTCTGACATGGTCTATTCTTCTATATTCTTAATCCTGATTATTTATTTATTTATTTATTTTTGATGTCTTCAGAACTGTGTGGAGTCCTGGCAACTGCCTGAGCTACTCCCTGCAGATTTCTTGGCAAGGTTTTTCAAAAGTGATTTGCCTTTGCCTACTTTCTAGGGCTGAGAGTGAGTGACTGGCCCAAAGTCACCCAGCTGTATTTTGTGCTAAGGTGTGACTAGAACTCACTGTCTCCCAATTTCTCTCCTGATGCCTTAATAATACACCAAATACACCAAACCGATTCTCTTTAATACTGATATATATCTTGAGCAAGTAATTTTTGACATTAATTAAAAAAAAACTGCATGTATTGTAACTTCCTGTAGTCCTGAGTAGCATAAGAAAAACATATTGCACATGCTCAGAAGTTATTTAATAGATTCAAGATTGAGGTTCTTGGTCCTTAAAATTGGATATGATATAAAAGGTGATTTAAGCGTTGCATACTGATGCAGTTGGTCAACCAGGCTCTACACTGAAGATTTAAATAGTTTTATTTCAATATTCTTAATGCAGAAATTGCCAGAAGAGCTAATAATTAATGGAGAAAATCTTTGGTTTGTTGTGGAACTGAAAATGACAATTGATCTCTATCTAGTCTATCAAAATTGAGAAAGGGGAGGGTTCTGGGAGTGAATAGAAAATCAAATTGTTCGGGGGGGGTGTCTATTTAGTTCATGGCTTGAATATTTCAAGCACCAGACTAGAATCCATATTTCTGGTAAACATGAACTTTCAATTTACTGAATAGTATCTAAATAGTTTATGAATAAAGACATAGGAGATGGAAATTTATCTTAGAGTATCCACTCTTACGAGGAAGCACCTGGAAATCTATAGGTGTAGAGGTTACTTTGCCCCATTCTCTCCTGTCAAACTGATGTTACTGTGAGTACATAATGCTAAGACATGTACAATATCTATAATTTGTGAACAGGAAAGGCAATGCAATTCAGGCATTAATCTCAAAGGACTCCAATGAGCCTTGACACATTGCATACTCAACCAAGCTAACGTCCAGAAAGGATTAAAATGGACACAAATTTGCATCTCTTTTTCTTTCCTTCTGGCAATGTTTTAATATTTCTTTTCCATTGCAAATAGCAAAGGGCCGTAATTATTTTTTTCCTTTGCTCATTTGTGGCAAAGTTACAATTTAAAAGGGGGGAAACCCCTACATTCCTTGGTGTGTTTCCTCTGAAGCTACATTTTAAAAACTGATGTTTTCAAATAATACATTAAAAGCAGTAGAAATGGTTCCAGTGAAGCGGTGGGTGATGAGATGGTATTTTTCTATTACAGTGCGGTTTCTCCCAGCGACCAAAGATTTGACCACTGACTAAGCCTGACCTAACCGAACACAACTCAAGATGGACACCGGCGTAATCGAAGGAGGTTTAAATGTCACACTTACCATCCGCCTACTTATGCATGGGAAGGTACTTGCAGCTTTCCATGTTCTTTGTCTTGGCGTAAAACTAGGTCACAGTAAATGCCTTGGAAAACCCAATTGTCTGATCAGATTAAAACATCTGCTTGCTCTTGGCATGCCATATATTGTTCTCTTAACCCCTAAGAAGGCAAACTAGAATTTAACTGGATTAAGTATTTCTTCAAAATGCTGATTTAAATCATCTTCCAGTACAATTACTTCAATCCGAGCTTTGAGATTATCAAATTAAACTTAAACAATCAAGTCCCTGTTGTTAATTGTAAAAATAAATGTTTTTTTTGTTTGAAAAAATGTAGAACTTATAAGCATAATGTTTGGGAACTTGTGGTTATGGGCATTTCTTAAATTATTGAAAAATATAACTTTTTATGTTTTGCTGTTTCAGGAGGTTGGAAGCATCATTGGGAAGGTATGTGACACAATTTAATTTGTATTTTCTTACATATATTTGAATTGGTAATAGTTTTGACAAGCTTTTTCTTTTCCCCCCCTCTGCATAGAAAGGAGAGTCTGTAAAGAAGATGCGTGAAGAGGTAAGTTTCAAAGGATAAAAGTAGGAAAACAAAATGGACTTAATAATTATGGCAATATGGGCCTCCTTAGCTAAACATCATCAGTAATTACGTGGTTGTTCTTGCACTATACCTGTTTTGTTTTAACTGAATGTTGTTTCCAGATAAACATATTTGGAGTAGGGAACTTTATGGGGGAAAAGGTGAAGCGAACCATAGGTTAAACCCACAAGGAGACTACACAGTCCAAACCTTAGCTTGCTTACTTAAAAAGAAATCCCAGAAACCTGAGTGCAATACTAAGAAGTGGTGCATTATTGTCTAGCAATTCATTTTTTTTCTTTTTAGAGTGGTGCACGGATTAACATCTCAGAAGGGAACTGCCCAGAACGGATTATCACTCTTGCTGGACCCACTAATGCCATCTTCAAAGCTTTTGCTATGATTATTGATAAACTGGAAGAGGTGTGTGAATTTAATTAGATGATCCTTGATGGGTTGAGGATATGACCATTAATGGTATTTTGGGTAATGAACATGAAGCTGTTTTGAGTAGGTTTAATGCTGGAAATAATTTTTTCTTTGGACCCACATTTTTATGAAGTATTTTTTTTAAAATGATAGATTTTGTTTCTTATTCAAAAATAATGAATTAGGATCCTAAGCTGAGCAGATTCCCATTATAAGATGATGGTATTATTCAAAAAGAGAAAAGGCTCAGTCTGATCGCACCTTTCTGACTAACAAATTTAATTAACAGATGTACACTTTTGTGAGCTGCAGCTTGCTTCATAAGGTGTAGCACTTACACATTTTGAGAAAACATGTTAGCTGGAGAAAATGCTATTGGACTTTCCTGATCCTACCATAGACTAATGGCTCTCATCTTACAATATAATCAAAGGGGGAAAGAAGTTAATTAGTTTCCCCACACAATCCCCTGAGTTCTTAAAAAAAAAAAAATCTCTGGCCGGCTCTGATATAATATAGATATATGTTTTGAAGAATGGCTTCAATTGCTGTTCAGAGTGTTGCTTCTACTTGCAGAAATCAGAAATGTGACAAATCTATACTATGGATTTTCAATTTATTACATTTTTATCCTACCACGTACATATATGTGTATATAGTTATATATAACTGACAAGAGGCAGCAATCATAGCTAATACTCTGGCCTCCTATTTTTCTCACAATAACAACCCTGTGAAGTAGATTGGGCTAAGAGAATAACAGACCTAAAGTCCCTAGCTATCTTCTATGCTTATGGGAAGCCTAGAAATCAGCACCTTTAGCCAGCACCTTAACTACTACATCAAACCGGCTCTCTGAAATTATAGCCACTTGTGAGATTTTCCTCAATTCTGTCACATAAACGGCTCTGGCCTCAATAAAATAGACAAAAATAGCAATAGTTCTTTGAAAATTTCAGTTGATGCTTCTGCCTGAGCTGCCTCAGAGTATAGAACAGGCTTGCACAACATATGGCCAGTAGCCTTATGTGTCTGCTGGTATTTTTTTTAAAAAAGTCAATAAATTTGCTGCTGCAGAAGATGTGCTGCTTAACACCTCCAGGCCTCTCCAGTACTGCTGCTGCTGCTTTGCTGTAGCCGATTGATTTTGTAGCCAGTAGTGATTTTTACTTTGTCAGAGTGCCCCTTTTCTGCCTACAAATTGTGCATGCCTGGTACAGAGTGGATTTGCACAAGTTAGAATAACAGTAATAATAAATAACGTGTCTCTCCATTTCTTCCGATGTCAGGATAAATGGAGCAAGCATTTGCTTTTGTTTCCTCTTAAATGGAAATAAATGAGCAGTCTGCTATAGTCCTGCAGTGCCTTTTTCCACTGCAACAGTGGATGGGAACATTTTTTTTTCATCTTCACCTTGGATACATTTACTCTTAGCACTGGAATTTTAGCTTGCTTAGCAGAAAACTGCTGCAGCTATTGAGTTTAGGTTTTTAGATAGTGCAGGTGTCTATATCATGATTGAAGTTTCACAGATAAAAATTATTAGCACAGTAAGCAGGGTTTTGTGTCTGATAACTCATCCTTTTTGAGATGGATAGGAAGACTTTGGCCTGTTATAGAACTGACATTAAGCCTATATTTTCATATTATGAGTTGTTTCCCTGTTACAGTATGTGAAGTAAAGATAATTTGCTTGTAATATGCTGAATAAGAACTTGATTCTATACATGTTGGAAGACATTTTGTGTTCTTACGCACTGTAAGGAAAAATATGGGAGGAATTTCTTAAGATGGCCCAAGAGTCAAAGAGCATGTATTTATCTTAGAAGTTCCCTTGTTAGGAACATTGCTGGTAATCTATTGAGGACATGATGCAGGAGAGTTTAGTTTTTTGAAACAAGTTGGAGAGTGCTCCAACAAAGTCTTCAGTTGAAACTTTGCTTATTTGAAGTTTGTTAACCTCTGTTTACAGGACATCAGCAGCTCAATGACTAATAGTACAGCTTCTAGCAGGCCCCCTGTTACTTTAAGACTCGTGGTACCTGCCAGCCAATGTGGTTCTCTTATTGGGAAAGGAGGCTGCAAAATCAAAGAAATAAGAGAGGTGGGTACTCAATTCTACTAGGATTATGAGATAGTTTACTCCTTGTTCTGTGAAAAAAAATACATTCTTGTTATTATTTCATCTTTTGCCAAATGCAGTAAACATGAATGTTACTCATTGACTGCACTATTTTGCTTAATACTGTACAATATATTTAATGCTCATGAAACTGACACTAGAGGATGGCTGAACCAAGTTCACTAAGTTCTTTTTAGAAAGCTACTTTCTCATTCTCTATATCTCTAGCAATAAGTTGGTGTCAAATAAAATAATAGCTTAACGGAAGAGTTATTATGCTGACATTCCCCGCACCCCACTATGCTCATGACATCTTGGATGATCAACATTGGATAACCCCTTTCATTAAAGAAATTAAAGTACATGGCTGTGTGGATTGAAGCCTAGAACTATCGAATCATTTGTTGTAATTACATTTTATCAGGGTGTTACCCCAGATAAAAATGTAAATGACTTGATTCTAAGAGTTGTAGATATTATCCTTTCAAAACCAGGAAAGTTCTTTTGCTTTAGAATTGGGTAATTTAGTAGTAAGTTTTATTCCTACCATTCTGGAAAAGTTACGAATGTGCATGGTTTTCTATTCTTGTGCATCTTTTTGAAGTTGAGTTAGGCCTAGAAATAACCTTGTCCCCAACAATTGATGTTGATCTTTTTCAAATTATTTTGACTATAGTATTCATGTAGTATGCCACATTGCAATCATCCTTGCTTAACATCAGGTTAAAATCTACAGCTGCCAAATATTAGTTCAACGCTATTGCTGTATAGAGTATGTCAAAAATAGTAGTGCAGAAAAAAAAAGTGGGAATAACTCTTATTCACTCTTAGAGTCATCCTGGAATACTAATTTCAAGATTATTTTATAACCAAAAGTGAAAACATTTTTTTAAAAAAATAGGACTCTGACTATTATACTGGAACTGTTCTACAATTTTTCCCCCTGCAACAATAACTTCTAATAAATTTGTATTTTTCCTATTAATTACTATCTTTGGGAGGGGAAAGTATAAGCCATATAAATCATGAAGCAAAATACCTGATTTTTTATTTTCAATCTTAAGAGCACAGGGGCGCAGGTCCAAGTGGCAGGAGACATGTTACCCAACTCTACTGAAAGAGCGATCACCATTGCTGGGATTCCACAGTCCATCATCGAGTGTGTCAAACAGATCTGTGTGGTCATGCTGGAGGTAATCTTTATTTTTATAAAGGCTTAACACTTAACACATAGAAAGTGGAAGGCAGAAGAAGAGCAAAGAGGACAAGGGCATTGCCTAGTGGCCAGTTGATTTCTTTATTTTGAGCAGCTGTTAAAAAGATTTATCATGCTGTCAGCTAAATTGCTATTTTATTTTTGCTTCATAAAATGCAGCAAGAAAGTTTCATGAAGGAGAAAGCACGTATTTCTTTTCTAGTAGCAACAGTGCAAACGGTGCTTAAAATGTAATTTAGGCGAAGGGTTTTCTAAAGGGATCACAATTGTTAAAAGACCATTTTGATCGGTTCGTTGTCTTGACTAGCCAGAAAGCTAAACAGTCTCTTCAGTTATCGCACATACCTCCAGGGGAATATGAAAAAAAAAAGCTAAATCAATGCTATGTTTCTCAGTAAAAGTGTTTCTTATCATCAGAGTTCTATGTCATTTGTCTTCATTTTTTAGAAATATTTGATTTGCTTCTAGATTTCCTAGTTGTCCTGTTTTAAACTATAGCATTTCTGAGAGATCCTTGGTGCTCTCTGATCTTGCTTGTTTCCTTGCAGATGTTTCATTACCCCGACTAGGTAACATTATCGGTGCATATAGCATTTCTGTTTTTATACTTGTACCTGTTGGAAGGAGGTGACTCTAGCCTGAGAACTTATGCCACAAGGAAGCTGCCTCCAGGCAGCAAGATCATTTTTTCTTTTGCAGAAGACTCACCAGACTTCTGTTCAGAGACAAATCAAAGAATTGGAGAAGCCATAGATAGAGAGCGAGCTATCTAGTTCAGCCTGTTATTTAAGTATTCTGGCAGACACTCGAGTGTCTCTAAGAAGTCCCTATTGATTAACCATGTTTTCCCTTTGACTCTTTGTAATCTAGTCTCCCCCAAAGGGTGTCACCATCCCCTATCGACCCAAGCCATCCAGTTCTCCTGTCATCTTTGCAGGCGGTCAGGTAAGGCCATTCCTCTTGTTGGGCATGGGTGAGGGCAAAACAGCAGTAGCCTACCAAGCTTCAACACTGCCAGCACACATCAAACTACTCTGCATGCTTATCACCTGTGCTGCCCCATCTGGCCAGCACAGTGCTATCTCTGCTGCTTTGGTTTTGTTCTTTGGAGGCTGCTCTCAAATGTTCACAAAACTCTGGTCTCTTTGGGAAATTAACGTAGTCAGCACTGTGGTTTGCAGGATTTCGTTGGCATTTATTATGATCCAGTCCGAGCATAAGACTACTGTTTGCAATCTCTTTTTCCCGGCCCCTCAATTTTGAGTCAATGTTCGAATTAGTGATTATTAATAGACTTATTAATTCTGCAGAACCATAGTTCAAAAGCAGCAGGGGCTGAATTGAAGTGGGCGGACATTTGGGAGAGCTGTGTCCTAGAGGGCTGAGAAAGCGAGGAGGAGATGCTGGTTGATGCCACTGTACCTTTGAGCTCAAATTCGGGAATATCTGGGAAATTACTTCTTTAACTTTTTTCATCCTTTTAAAAGGAATCGAGTGCCACTTTCTTTTTAATTGCATATGAAGGAGTAGCTGCGGCTAGTTTAAAAAAATACATCAAATGATTTGGGGTACCATGATTTTATTCTGCTTTCAAGCACACAGGAATATGAGGCACAAATATGTTAATTTTCTGATAAATTGTTATGGCCAGTGCAGGACTTCAGTCTCTCAGCTGGCTGGAATCCTTTGACTAGTTAAGCATTTTCAGTGACATTCACTTGGCGGACTGCGAGTGGTCAGATATTTTAGCTGGACTTGAAGATCCTTCCGATCATTTTAGATAGATTTGGTTTGAGGTTGAAGCATGCACTTTGGAAAAGCGGGTCTCTCAGAACCGTGTGTCCCCGGAAAGGCTCTTGAGTATGTGGAGTCGGAACATATTTAAGCACAGTGCCTCAAGGCCCACCTTTAAGCTTCCTTTTTTTTTTTTTTTTTTTTTTAAAAGGGCTGCATTAATTTTCAGATGCTTCAGAGATGGATTGGGTGAAGTGGACTAAGCCAGCCTGAGATTGTCAAGATAAGCAGTGATGGCACTGGGACGTAGATTTCAGGCAGCAGCAGAAATTTAGAGGCAGCAGCTGGACAGGCCTGGCTGCAGTGTACCCCAGTGCTTATACATTCACATGCTACTTACATTGGGATATCTTGCTGGGGGAAAGGTGCTGTCGTGATCTTGTTCTCGCCTCAATCCCTCCCTCTTTCTTCCTTGCCCCATTCATATTACCTACCTTCCAGAAGCTCTTGACAGCTTGCTAAGCAATTAATTGGCAAAGGGCAAAGGCACTTGGGAGGTTACTGAAGATACTTGAAGTAGGTCACTTGCATCCTAGAAAGTTGATCTTGTGGCAGAGTAGGCCTGTTAATGTCATTAGAATAAAACACTTTGTATCCATGTAACCCCCCCCTCCCCCCCCGTCCCTGAAGAAGGTAGTTGGGGTTTGCACTCAGGGAAATCTCACATTGTCTTTGCTACTGAGTAAGAGTCAAGAGTAAGCCAGCATCTGCCTAGTAGAGGTTAACCCTTGATCAGAGTAAGTTTTATGTGACTTTGGTGTTAGCAAAAGGTTTCGGATTGACAGCCCTGGAGACTGAAGTCCTCTATTTATCCACAGGACAGGTACAGCAGCGGCAGTGCAAGCTACCCCCACACCGCCCCATCAATGTGCCTCAACTCTGACCTGGAGGGACCACCTCAAGAGGTGAGAGGGGAGTTCAGTCTCCATGGCCCATTCAATCCTTGGCCTCTTTGAGACTGCCAACAAGGGTGGCAAGATTGGTGGTGGCGGCTTGTGCTGTGAACTCCTGTTCATTGGGAATTGGATTAAGGCCACCAAACAGTACCTGGCAGGCCGGTAGGCAGACCTGCAGGTGGTAACTGCTTGACCAATTCCAACCAGGGCCATATTTCTCCCCCCACGCCCTACCAGCGAGAGATAAGTTCTTCCAAAGCTTCACTTAGTGTTAAGCAAGTCCTCACACAGTGATTGCCTTGCTGGGTTGCTTCAGTAGGGTTATTCCTAGAATCATCGTGTTTGGCTGGCTGCTGCTTTCTCCTTATTCTTCCAGATGTATTTCTGCCATCCAGTGCCTGACTGTAGTAGTCCACTATAGAAATTTAAAAGAGTATGGAGTGGGATGGGGATGAACACCCAGCTGGTTCTTTTTAGCCATTAAAACAGTTGGAGGTATAGGAAGTAATTAAGCTTCCCTTTGAGTCTAGAATGCAGAATGCGTAGGGCAGGAGGGCTTATATATCACAGTCCAGTCCTCTGCTATAAACAACCATTCTTCACCAACAACCAGCTGTTAATACTAATCATTTTTATGGTGGGGAACACTTTCCCTTCAAACACTATATACACCTAGCTAAAACAAGGAGCCCCTTTAAGAGACCTGCTTTCAGGCTCCCCACCAACAATTCTCCCCTCAGCTTTCTGGCTTCCTGGCTAGTTGAACTCTTATCTGTCACTGGGTGGCTGTCCAATGGTTTTTAATAGGACTGTTTTCCTCCTTTTTGTAGGCCTATACCATTCAAGGACAGTATGCCATTCCACAGCCAGATGTAAGTTTTGTTTACACTTCTTGTCTTGAAATCACCCACTTCTCCCTCCAAAATTTCTCCATGCTTTCTCAACAAGCCACTTTAGAAGTCTGTCTTAATTTGAAATCACAATCCAACCTAAAATGAGCCTCAAATTTTGTTCAGCAGTTCTTTATGTAATCAACCTTAAACCTCTCCTCCTTTTTCTGTGTCCTGTGACACACACTTCCCCAGCAAAGCTTGGTATCCTATCCAAGTTCCAGTCTCTGTCCCACAATTTGATATCAGATCCCACAAACAAACAAACAAAACAAAACTCCATGGTATACTGTCATTGTGGTTCTTAGTAAATGGCATAGGGCATTGGGTGTAGTGCACTTCCTGGTGGTGGAGGGGAAGCTAGCCTCAGACTTGAGCTTTCATCTCTAAGCATGATGGCCAGCACATCATGTAGTCACTACAGGTGTCGTTACAAGGTGACGGGCTTTTGCTTGGGATGCCTTTTCTTGGCACACTTTCTGCTAATAATAAAACCACTAGGTGTCTTCACTTGATGTGAAAGGACTCCCTCCCCCCCCCCCACTGTCCTTCTTTACTAATACCTTCTGGTGTGTGAGATAGTTGTAGTACTTCTCATGGAAGGGCACATAGGAATTGATCTCTGCTCATAGCAGGCTTAGAGAAGAAAGGGTGGGGCTGGGATGAGTGAGTCTAAGACCAAGAGCTAGTAATTTGCACTGTTTTTAAGATTGGGGAGAGCATCTGACTCCATTCTGGTCACTCATGATATACCTCTCCCCTCCAAATGCTTGACAGAGTCCTGCATGGTGTGGTCCCAAGCACCACTGCAAATCAGTCTCTGTGTTATTTTGCCTGTTTGTGCTTTGTCTCCTGGTGTTTGTCACAATTCACTGCAGATGCCTTCTGTTGAGCCAGGGGTTTTTGAGATGGGTGTTGGCTTCACACCCCATGGTGCTTTTCTACTGTCTGTACCCATCTCTGCTCAGGGAAGCGCTTGCTCCTCAATCCAGTTTTTCTCCTGAACTCCCCTATCCCAAGGGGGGGGGCAGCACCTCATGCTCAGCTTGCAGGGTCTGTTTTTCTTTAAACTGTGCTGCTAAACAAGTAAGTCTGCAAAATTCCTAATATCCATCTTTCTCTCTCTCTTTCTAGCTGACCAAGCTGCATCAGTTGGCAATGCAACAGTCACACTTTCCAATGTCTCATGGCAACACTGGATTCAGTGGTATGAAAATGTTGTTCTTTATTATATAAGCTAGCAGTCCAAGAATCTCCACTTGAGCTTTTAAGATGATCGCCTTAAGCTCATTCTTTCACTTAAAAAAAAAAAAAGATCCAGAGGTACCAATTTTGAAAAACAGGTGACTGTTACTGTCCTCAAGAACAAAAACATTGTGTTGATTTTAAAGAGAATGTTGATGCTGCTTCCTCCTCCTTTGGCCCTTTCAATAACATTGCCAGTTGCATCTTGCCTTCCAATTACTATGGTAGAAATAGTTGTGCCAAGTTGTATAAAAGTTTGCCTTGTTGCTGAAAGTCTGATAGGACTTCGGCTAGGACCACCAAACTTACTGTCCCTTGTATTTTGACAGGCGTTGAATCCAGCTCTCCAGATGTGAAAGGCTATTGGGGTAATGACTGAAAAAAAACTAGTTACTCTGTTGTGTATGTTCATAACGGTAGGGGAGTCTTTCCCAGTTACCAAATTCTGCTAACTGCATTATAGTGCAGGGGGGAAAGCCTCCAGCACATGATACAGGCGCAAAATCATATTTGATAATTTTTTTTCCTTCTGTAAAAATAAGATGTGCTGGAACCTATATTGGAGAGCAGATAATAGTATGAATACGTTTATTCTCTTTTCATGAGCTGTTTGCTAGCGAAGATAGCAGGGCAGCTACAAATATCCACACAATAATTATATTGGGTCGATAAACATAAAAATAGCATTATATACAAGCTTCTTGAACAGTACAGATGGCACTGCTGTTTATTTATTTGCTCAGGCTTCTGTGCAGTTCCAGTCAAAAACAACTTGAGATATGGCCTCTGTCCAATTATATAAAGTAAAAACCACAATAACAAGATAAAATGAATAATAATAGGCCACAATACAAAATACAGCACCAAGATAATCAACAGCAACCACTTAGGAGGTGCCCCCATGGATCATTCGCCAGTCCCTTTGAAAAAGGCTGAACTTAATGGCCTTCCAGAATCCTAGCAGCATTCTGATAAGGAGTATGGTGTTCCAGAGAAGGGATTCGGTGATGGAAAAGGCATACATCCATGGGCCCTGGGGACAATAGTCCATCAGGTCCCAAAGAAGCCCTCTTTTCCTTATCAGATGGGTAGATATCAGAGGAAGTAAGAAGTCTCTTTTGAGAGTGTTGTGCCGTGAGGCAGCAATAATTTCATGTACAACTAAAATGTATACTGATGAACATGAGTGTTTGCTTTGGGTCTGTGTTTATTACAACTTGTTGAAAGTATATAAAGGATAATAATTGGTTTTTTCGTTGTTTGTTCATAGGAAGAGATGGTATTACTACTTTGATTTGCTCTATCTAGCCATGTACAAACATTCATTCTTGTCTCTTTTATAATCAGAGTTTACCCCCCAAAAAAGAGAGAGAGAGAGAGGCTTAAGTTTAATGTTTTGTTCATCCTCTGCTTGAACACTTCAATATTGTAATTTTTTCAGCAGCAAATGATAGCCTGATTGCTCTGGCATTTCAGTTTTGTGCTGTGCTGATTGTCTCAACTTTAAACTTGTTTTGATCTCTTTCTATATGTTAGCAGGTTTGGATGCATCAGCTCAGACTACTTCTCATGAACTCACCATTCCAAATGATGTAAGTATTTTTCAAACATGCCCACTTGGGATATTCTGGATTGTCGTGAGATACTGTTTCAGAAATTCCATTTCAGGGAAATTATGATTGGGCTATAATCTAGATAGCTGTTCTATTTTAAGTCTAGGGCATAGTTAGAGTTGGGAAGTAGGCATTTAAATTACATATCCTTGACTTACAGCCACAATGGGGCCAGAATATCCATTGCTGAGCCATGTCCAATTTTACAACCATTTTTTTTTTTTGCCACAGTGGTTAAATGAATCACTGCAGTGGTTTAAGTGAATCTGGCTTTCCCCATTGACTTTGCTTGTTGGAAGCTGGCTGGGAAGGTTGCAAGTGGCAATCACGTGACTTCAGGATGCCTGCAACCATCGTAAATACCTGCAGGTTGCCAAGCAATTGAATTTTGATCATGTAATTATGATGCTACAAGGGTCATAAATATGAGGACTTTTTCAGTACGATTGTAATCTCAAAACGTTCTCTAAAGGAATGCTTTTAAGTCGAGCGCTACCTGTACATGAGTGATGACACCAAAGCGTCTAAGAGTGTTTAAGGCATCTCTTAAGATTACGATCCTGTAACTGAAAAGGAAGGAAGCAATTACACTTTCTCTTTGTAGTCCTTTAAAACAAGCATTGCAACTTAGAATATTAAGAAAATTCTTTGCAGATTGAAACGTGGATTAACAATTAGTTTGAAGGGTATTAACGATGTCCTTCTGAGAAGAAGCCTTTAGCGTACAAAAATACTGAGAACTGTGGCACATCTCAAAATTAATGCAGCTGAGAACCTTTCAAAAGAATATGGATCAGGCACACCAAATGCCGAGCTGTTTACCTTGCAGTTTGACTATTAACATCCCAGAGTGCCATTAAACAGCAGATGTTGAGTATGTGCTGCATTGAAAGACTTGCTTTAAGTCCCAATACATTTATGTTTTGCTTTCTCAAGTTAACTGGATCTCTTGTAGTGACATTTTTTGTTTTATAAAGGAGGTGCTATAACCCATGAATAATATTGATATACGGCCCAATTTGATAGAAGGTGGACTTTCTCCCCAATTGCCATAATTTTACTTTACATGATAGAGCATATAATGGTACAAAACAGATATAAAATTGACAGCATTTACTCTCGCTCTGCGAAGAGTGAAATGACAATTACAGATTTTAAACTGCTTTTCCTAAGGAAAGTTATGATTCTTTGGTAATACGGGAATACCCACAGTAAATGATAAAATGCCCACAGTAAAAGATAAAGTTGTTTGTCTTAATTAGGTTAACACTACAGGACAATCTTGTTCATTTGAATTCACGTATGCTTAATATGCCAATTGAAAAATCAATTTAAGAAAAGGTCTTTTAATGATAGTGAAGCTTCCCGATAGAGAACAGCATTTACATAGTTTCTAGACATCAGCCTCACCCAAGTCTGAAAGGAAAACAACAGTACAAAAACATATTTTTGACATTTCTGACTGCAGTTTGATTAAGACTTTGTTTTCTTTGTTTCTTAGCTGATTGGCTGTATCATTGGGCGTCAAGGCGCCAAGATCAATGAGATTCGCCAGATGTCTGGGGCGCAGATCAAAATTGCCAATCCAGTGGAAGGATCTACTGACAGGCAGGTTACTATAACTGGATCTGCAGCCAGCATCAGCCTGGCTCAATATCTAATTAATGTCAGGTAAGTTTTTAGCATGTTGCTTATTAATGCATGTCTTAGATGATAAAAGAAATGTATAATTATTTTTTTTAAAAAAAAAACCTTTTAAAAAGATGAAAAGTTCCCAATTAATCCTCCTCTCCCCCCACTCCTGTGCAGAAATAGTGCAAAACTTGCTGTTTGGTGCACAGGAGCTACCTCATCTTTGCAGATGTATGGGCTAAGGTTGGGAAGGTATTGAAGTTCTTGTAGGTGAAGGAGAGAAATAAGACATGCAATACACCCTTCACTGCACTCTAGGCCTTGGGCTTCTTTTTTTAAAAAAAAATATATTAGCTAACCTTCTTCTCAAAAAACTTACATTTTTATGAAGGCAAACTAGACTTGGAATCATATTGCTAAGTACAATGTTGATTTTTTTTTCAAAAAGGTGCTTAGTTGGGTACCTAAATGATTATATCATGTCTTTTATCAAGAAAAAGGTAGGGGTAGTTCTGCCCCAAGAATGTGACTTTGTCTACTGTCACTGCTCCTGCAGTTAGTTCCAAATATGCTTTTGCTTGCAGTGAGCTTCAATAATGGCTGCAGTAGGGCTCTGCAGCAAGCAGTGGCAGCTTCTGGGACTGTGGTCTTGCAATCCCCAACTGGCAAGTAGCCTTTACCACACAATCTTGTGAGGCAAAAATCCAAATTATCAGCTTAATGGAAAGTAATAGCTTCAGTAATTAAAACTCCATACCCAAACAGCTGGTATTCTATGTCTTGCCATCTAGGCTATGGCTAAAGTATCCATTGTAAGAACGTAAGCTAATGTTAAGAATCTACAGTTTAGTTTCAGGGCTGCTACAGAATAGCAAACAAGTATATTCCAGATGTGAAGTTGCTGACGTTTTTAAAACTACCCAAAAGTCTCAATGTCTTTGAACAGAAGTGGCCATTTTGGGATGCCCAGGAAACTCTTGTTTCAGTTTAGTAGCTAAATCTTAACATAGGATCCACTGTTGGAGTGAATATTTTTTTTCACTCATTACTATGAAACCTTCTAAACTTCTTCTCATTAAAGGCTCTCATGCTCTCCCCCAATTAAATTTCTGCCAGAACTGTAATGTAATGTGGTGGTGGTGATGCTAGCAACTGCAAAAATACGTTTTCTTAAGTGGCTTAATGACACTTGCAAATGGCAGCGTGGAATCCAAGAGGGATAATAATGCCTTCAGACTGAACTCAAGGACTTGGAATGTTTTGACACAGTGCTTAAAAAGAAATACTGTATGGGAAATAACTAGAAATAAAGTGCTCCATACATAATTACGATCCTTACAGTTGCCCTCTAAATTGTGTGTCTTATTTTGAGTTGCTCAGTCTGTTTGCAAAATGTATTAGTTTTGGCTGATCTGGTATTTTAAGTCCAGTTGCCTCGTGAAAAAGCATCTTTCAGACAATTATGACCTGGATGATGGAGAATCTCCATAGACATTTGCCTCTCTTAACCAATGAAGTGTCTCAATTTATCAATAGAGAATGAATTCTGTTGGTAGAGTAAGGGAAAGAAAACACATCCAGAACATAAGCTGCAATTGTGGATGAAATTAAACTTGTGAATCCTGTTTTCTAGGGAAGCACAAGTTGCTTTAAGGCCTAAATGAGTAACATGGTTTAAAATGTCAGAGCAGCCTACAATGCATGGAACTATTTCTGACAAAAATAAAATAAGCCCTCCCACTGGAGTTTGATTTTCTGAAATCCATTGTTTTAAACGGCCTCTCCAAAATAAGTGATTTTCTTTTAAATAATATGGAGAAAACTTAATACAGAATTCCTGGAGTTCAGTTAAGACTTCCCAGTTGGTATAGCACCATTTCATAGAACTCAGCACAGTGTTAATGTTGGTTTTGCTACTTCAGAGAGATACTTGAATACTGCAGTCGGTATTAAATATGAAATAACAATTGGGACGGGAAGGAAAATAAAAGAATGCTGGAAGATCTTTTGTGAATAAACACTGACCACATTGCTTAATAGTTTTCTGTAAGTTCAAAGGGTGGTATGTGGTTTAGTATTAAATAACAAAATGGCCACTTCTGAAGTCAATCTAGGTTGGAATTATTCCTAATGGGATTAGGGCTTGGGACCCAGCGGGCCATGCTCTGGGGCCATAAATGGACCTTGGTACATCTAGAGAATGTTGAGATTCCCTGGCAGCCAGCATTCTCTCCCCATCCCATCTTTCTTCTGGCTATGCTATTTCCAAACCTTTCCAGACTAGGTTCATGCTATTTAAGCTGTTTTGTGTCCTGTGCTTTTTGTGTGGTGTTCCCATCCACCCACCCGTATTTTTGTTCCTTTTTTCCTCTGTTACAGTTTAGAAAGCGCTAAACCCTCCTCCCAGGCAGCCTCCGTCACGATCCCCGACCACCTCAGCATCAACCTCTCTCAACCCTCCACCCCTTCTTCTTCTTCCTCCTCCACCACCACCCCCTCGCTTGCGACAGCGGGGGTCTCCGACGCACCCTCCAGCCTCCCCAACCCTCTTCCGACCGCCCCCTGTGTCTCCAGTCTGCTTGGCATGAAACCCGTCCCTCTCCTGGCTCTAAATGTTGTGTCTGCTGCTAAGGGTGCCTCCACCACCTCAGCTGTGCCATGTGTTACTAACAAACTGAAAACGGAAAAACAGAGATTCTCTCCCTACTGAGAGTCTGCTTGTGGCCTTAGAGGAACAGCAGATTGTTTTTCAGCAATGGGGAATCCTGTAGAGGAGACTTGGAAGAGATTTTTTTTTTTTTTTTAAACGTCACAACAAAAATGAGCTTGTGATTCTTTAGAATGGAGTTTCTGTTTGCTGCCGATCTCCACTAGTTCAAAGACAATTGAGCAAGTGTATTAATCCGTTTTGGAGTCCAGTAGTAATCTTGATTATTATATAGCTTGTAGCTGTTGCTTTAGTAGATTTTGTTTGCATTGTTACATGAAAAAAAAAAAAGGTGGGTGGGCGAGGGTTGGGTGGGTATGGAATTCTAGCATTTGTTAATAAAACTATTCATTTTGTGATACCTTGGTTTAAGCTGTTGCAAAGAGGCTACTTTGGTCAAACCTGTCTCAATGTCTGTCTTGTAATAAAGCTATCACAGTGAGAATGTGCACAGATGTGCCTGAATTGGATCCAGACTATATAAACTGCAAGCTGGTGGATATCACGTTGCACACCCAGGCTAAAAGTCTAAATAGATGTCAATTATTGTCCTTAGAATAGTTTTCCTCAACCTAATAGCCCCCCCCCCTCCCCAGATTGACCAAAATCTCAAATCATCCCTGCCTGCCGCTGTGTTGTCTTGGGGTAGATGGAAATTTTAATAGAAAATATATCTCATACTAGAGAAGGCTTTCCTGGAGTGAAATGAAATGTTTAAATTCTGTGCTTGGGAAGCTGTAACCGTTCAGTATACCATTGTGAAGCTGCCAACTGAAGGCAGGGAAGTAAGCCTTGTACACTGCTTCCATTCAGGCTATGGTTTATTATCCATGAGAATTCCTAGCTAGCATGGATACATTCAACTGCTTGGAAATGTGACACATTTCTTTGAGCATACAGTATGTCCTAATACTTTTCTAGAGATTGCCCTAGGTCTCTGAAAAACGGCAAGTGCTTCAGATACCTGGCTTTCTCTACATCCAGGACTATGTTATCACTAAGGAGATAAAGAGATTTTGGATCAGTAAGCATACTGTAAACAGCTTTAATAGTGCTGCAAGCCCAGCCTACTTTTGCTATATGTTCTAAAAATGAAATAAAAGAACGAATCCTCAAGTTGATAGATGAGTAGCCCAGAGCTTTAGTTTAAAAACCTCATTATTATTATTGATGAAAATATTAGCTTGTGTATAGTCTCTTTTAAAAGATGCTCCTTAGTTTGTCTGGAAACGAGTCTTCTGCCAAAGCTAGCCAGTTGGCTTCTCTTGTCCCAACAACCTCTTCTAGTTTTAAAGACCAGGTAGTCACCTGTTTCCCACTAATAAGGGCTTTTTGGAAACAGAAGGCAGACAAATAGGATAATGTAATAAAAATCAGCGCTCTTGTGTTTAGCGTGGTGCTCGTATTATTTCCCCATCTGAATCAGAATAACTTGATCTTTAGCCTGGGATTGCTGCATGAACATTGCAGTTCTTTTTTTTTCCAAAAAAAAGGGAGTGTTTATTAATTTTCAAAGAGTCGAGGTAACACTGAATAAGAAAGGTAACTGTTAAAAATGATAAGAATTGTGTGCTTATCTTTTGTATTAAAATTGGAACAAGTTTGAAATGGTAATTAGATTATGGGCTATATAATTTTGGACTTTACATTCAGGGATGTGGAGGGTCTAATCTGATCCTATTGTGAGGGATGAGATGGCCATTAACTGGCTGACTTATGCAGTTCTGTCAAATCTTTTTTCTTTTAATAGTAGGAGTCTTTTTTAGTAATTGTTTCTGCAGTTTGACTTTCACAATTGTAACTTTTTTAAAAAAAATCTGTTCTGCTGTAGTGTAATCACATCAAGTAAAAATTGTCCACTCTTAACCAAGCTTATGGATTGGCCGTCTGTTTCATAGTGTCTTGTAGAGACTGACTTTGTGACCAGTAAGATGGTGATGTGTTGTCCAGAAGCTATTTGTTATATTGCACAAACACTAGTTCTCAATAATAACCACATAAAATCACAGTATTGGGAAGTAGATATCCGTACTTGACTTCTAAATATATATATATCTGCATTTGACTTCATTTTTTTTTAAAAAAAAATGAAGATTACATCCATATCCACTTTTACAACTTTTCCAATCTTTAATGCTATTAGTTTTATGATGCAGCAGGAAAATAATGTTCCTCTGTCAAATTATATTAAGGCAGACACACTTTGCATGCATTATGTGCAAAAATTACAGATTTTAAAATAGTTGGGCTTCATTGATAGTGGGGAAAAATTAGTAGCAGGTCTTTTTTCTGGGTTTGGGTTATGCCCCCAAAGTTGCTTATTTCACAGAAATTACAAGATGTCTACCTATAGAATCTAATTCTTTATATTCCTAGGCTATGACTTGTTCATAGTAGTGATTTATCAAATTCAATTTGATTTGAATTTGTCTCAACTTTTTGGGATGTGGAATCATACTCGTGTCTGCAAGGTACAGCTACACAATGAGGGCCAAGTAGCAGAGGCTATTTGAGGTTCATTTTTCAATATTTCAAGTTCACACAAATCACCTGTTCTATATCTTGAAGGTCAAAACACACAAACAAGAGGAGATGCTGTTTTTCAACACACCATAGCAAAACCCACCCTTGTCCCCAGTCCTTTAACAATGTAGGAGTCAAGAAAAAGTTATTGCTCTTATCACTGTGCTAAAAAAAGCCACGCTGTATTAATGCATAATCCATTAATGGTGGTATGCAATGAGTACTTCTTAGAAAAGAGAAGAAAGAAATTCCTAGTACTTGGGCTAGAATATATTTTGGGGTGGGTAAGGAAGGGTAAACCAGCTGAGCTCAGATGTGACACTCTTCTTTTTTCATTTTGTGAGATAGCCTTCCCCCATGACTATACCAAGTGGGACTTTAGGAATTTGTGCTTCCGTAGATCAGCTTAGGAAGGCTGCTCTGTAAAAACAACACAAAATTAACTTGGATGTACTCAAACCTCTTCCTGTATTTAGTTAGCACGAGCCATTCTTTGCCCTTGTTTCAGTGGATCTTACTTGGAATTCTATTTTTTTGCTGGATTATCCTTTTATGTGGTCAGACCAGCCATCCCCAACCTTGGTATCCTTCAAATGCATGAATCTCAGCTACCAAGGAGTCTTAACTGTCACTCTAAGGAAAACTGCCTTGGGCCATTCTATTAATAAAGGACTGGGAAATTTCAGTTATTCAGTAGTATATACAGAGTCTTAATTTTATCACTCTTCTACCCCATTCTGGCCTGATTTGTGGCAAAGACCCATGCAGCTGAGCCTTACCCGCTTGGGTTGCCTAACCCTTGTCCTATTGATTTGGGTGCAGCTTGTCAGTGAGTCTTTCAGTCAGTCAGTTAGTCATCGTTAGAGAATCTCCTTCCTAAAAGGTAAGTTTGTATAGCATGGCTTCTGCTTAAATATAACAGACCTCAGGCCCTAGATTTCAAGTGGTTGAAGACTAATGGTTTTTTTTCTTTTGTAATAAAATAGTTTCATGGGCATTCAGGTTTTTTTTAATGTAACTTTACTAGTAAAATTGTGTGTGTGTGTGTGTGTAAATGTCCATCATTTAAGGGCTTCTGATTTTTACAAGCAAAGAACAATTTAATTTGGAATAATTTATATATTTTTTAACAGCAGGGGAAAAAACTTGCTGTAAACATCAGACAGCTGTAAAAGTTGTGTAATTTTGTTTGAATTGTATAACATTTAATAATTTGAAAAACGAGCCTGGTGAAGAAGAACAGATTTCTCATAGGGTCTTTTAAATCAAAACCATTTCTGACAGCTTTTAATGATTTGACTTGTTCAATCTGATCTTGCCTAAACACCCGAACACATGCCTAAACTAAGCATTATAGACAATAACCAGGAGACCATGAGTTCTAGTCCCAGTTTAGGCATGAAAGCCGGCTGGGTGACCCTGGCCCAGTCCCTCTCCCTCAGCCCAACTTGCCTCGCAGGATTGTGGCAGAATAGGTGGGAGTATTAGGTATGTTTGCTGCCTTGATTTATTTATAAAAATAATAAAGGCAGGATAAAAAACCAAGCTAAAAATTGGCAACTGAGTCACAGTTTAATGGCAATATGTTTGCATGTGCTAATAGCAGCAGAAGAAACTACTATGCCTGCTTCTAAAAAAGTACTGGTGAGCCTGAATTCTGGTGACTGTTTTGGCTAGTATGCACACATGCAGAAGGTGCTGAATATTTAAGATTTTACTGGAAGCCATGCTTGATAACGGGGATGAATGTATAAAAGCTGCAGTAAAGCCTGACTGACTTTCCTTTTGGGTATCTTAAGTGGACTACAAGGTATTCAAGGTTGATATATGTGTGTTTGTAGCTGCTTCTGTATTAAGTACCATATGCCAAATACAACTTTTCTATAAACTGTGTACTTTTTATGGTTGGTAAAAGTCAATGTTATAAAGTGGAATTTGGACATATGTCAAAATCTGGCTCTTAAGTTTGTCTACGTTCGTTAAAAGACTTTAACTTTTGTTTCCATCGTAGGCTTTCTTCGGAGACTGGTGGAATGGGAAGCAGCTAGGACAATGCCACCACCTCACTCATTACCCCTTTCTGCCGTTCATCCCCATGATCCATCTGTGTAGTTTTTGAGCAGTCAGCAATTCCAGGTTTTAACTAGTTTGTAAATTTTCAGTTCTACATGCTTTACCCATCCATTCATGATTTTTTTTTTAATTGCAGCATTTTAATTCCTTTTCTCTGTTCAGCTGTTAAAATGCTGATTCATATTTTAGTTTAAGCTTCTTCCCCTTTCTTGGCTCATGAAGTTTTTCTGTTATGTCATGAAATGTAAGAGTGGAATTAATACATTTCAGTTTAGTTCTGTAATGTCAGAAATTTTTCAAAAAAATAAAAAGATGGACTGGAGTTTTTTTCCTTGTGAATAGAAATGTGTGGTGGTCTTGAGTCTTTATCGCTGGTCTTTATTATTTCTTCAGACTTCTGAATAGCACGTCAGAAAAGCACCTTAGTATGGATTGCCCAGTTGTGACCTTCATGAGTGAGGGAGGGGAATGCTGTAACCAGAAAGAAGAATAAATTTTCCCATATGG